CTTCAGCTTAACCATATTCCTGTGTGGAAAGTCTTGTTCACTGCAGTGTCTGGGCCAGAGACGTTTGCATCACTGTAATCAGCAAGCATTTAAAACTGTTGCTCCTTAAGTGACCTTGGGTTAGCAGGAAGCAAGATGGAAGAACGCCCTTCCAAAAGTAAGGATTTCCAACTTGAGTAGGAACTAGTTTTTACATGTATAAAAACAAGTGATTATTTACCATTTCCACTCATTTGTCCATCTAGTCAGCCTCATTAATCACTGAGTTTCACTCAAGGCACAGTCATCAAGCAGCGCAGAAGAAAACACTATCTGGTAAAGACATTAGAGATGATACTGCTGAAGAAGAAACAGTTTAGGTTTTATTTGCAAATCTGTAGTGCAATTAAAAATAACAGTTGCTTTCTCATCTGCTCCAGAGATGAGTGGCAAAATCAACCTAATAATGCAAATATGTGGTTTTTTGGGTTTTTTTTAAATGCACTTTCCACTTTTCTGGCAACAGTTTTGCTTTTCTTTTCAAGAAGGACACTTTCCTCACTCAAACAGATGTAATAACAGTTTCCACCTTGAAGAAGAGAAGCATGTATGGATCCCAGCAACAGAGACTTAAAATAGAAAAATTGGTATGAAACACAAAAGGGAATGTGTATTGTTGTATAAGCACAGGAAGAAAAAGCAGAATAACAGTTAAAAGAATGGCTTATACTGGTAACAGAGGACACAGCTCCTGTCAGTTGCTCTGAGAAATGTGTTGTTTCCATCAAGCACTGAAGGTGATAGCACAGATGACTCAGTATCTAATGACCCTGCATTCCTGATGCCTGATGGCAAAAAGGTTGAAGACTCTCACACATGCTATTCCTTTTTCTGTTAGTCCAGAATTCCACCTCATTCAGCCTGATTTTCACCTTTTCTCAGCCTGACAGAAGCATATGTCCATTTCCTGTGTAGGTAATGATTTTTTGCGCTTTTGTTGATACTTGTGTGTAGGGAATGCAACCTTTCGCTATATTCTAAAAAAACCCTCCCACATTTGTAAGGGTCTAGTTTGCACTTGTAAAGTTTACATTTGCAAACACAGGTGACTGTGTATGCCACAATTACTTAGTCAGGGTAACTTAAGAACAAAGGGCAAAGGAACCAAAACGGGAACTGTGCTATTTCTTCTTCGAATTGAAACTGATTACCAAAAATGGTTTTGTAGTTAAACTGCAACAAAGTGATAGCAAAAAAGAGGACTATTTCTCATTGCCAGCTCAAAAAATGTCATATAGCTCTTCCCTCACTTTTTCTCAAGTATAGACATAGAAAACTGTCTACACTGTTTGGTTTCACATATTTAGAAGTAGATTTAATTTAGTAAAAAATGATCAAGTAAAGTAACAGGCCAAAACCTGACAGAGAATGAGTATGCAATTACTTTATTGTTTGTAGCCTAAATGAAATATGTGAATTTTTAAATTGTTGTCATCTTGGTTGCCATTGAGGATATTCTCATTTTCCAGTGGATTAGCAGTGAATTTTCATCATAAAGAAATAATATAGAGTATATAGAAAGTAAAATAAAAAACCCCAAAGGGCAAATAATAAAATACAGATTGAATGTCAAATAAACCGTATATATTTATTTAACAATATATATTTATTTTCTGTGTCATTGGGTAACCCAGGCATTTTTCAGTGAAAGCTCTATTCAAAATCACTGCTCAAGGATTTTTTCTTAGTATTGTAAAAATGCAGAAGAGTTTCAAATTATTTGTGTACTGCCATCCGTTGTTTATTTTTCTTTTACTGCAGTGTTCTGTTTGTTAATTCCAGTGCTTTTCAACATGCTCCAGGGAAAAAAGAATACTTTACTTTACCTGTGAAATATCAAGAAATTCAAGAATAGCTTCTTTTCATCCATAAAATGCTACTGATATTTAACAAACAACAGAGATTGCAATGACAAAAACATTTCTATTTGAAAACCTCCCTAGACGGAATGTGCTGGTAGCAACAATCTGTACCACTCTGCATAAAATTACCACACCACCCTGTTAATGTGCTTGCTGAACATCACAAGCAAGACGCATAAAGATTTGTGGTCAGACTGTTTGCCCTGTCATACTAGCAAAGTGAAATAATGGTAAACAACAGTCTTTGGTAGTTTTATTGTTAATTAAAGCATTAGCTTCACCAGGCAGCTTTAATCTTGTGCACTGATTATTTTTTATATAATAAAAAAAAGACTTTAGTACATCCCTGTCATCCACAGACTTAAGAAATCAGTCTTTTATGGGTTGAGCTGTCTGATTACATTACTATACAGTCTCCTGGAGTAGTTTCCATTCATCTGTCTTGGTAGTCAACAGCAAACATGCATGTTTATCCATATCAAGTGTTCTTTGTATTTCCAAAGTTATGCCTTAATATGCCTGTATAACTGCTTAGTTAAATATATCAGACACACAGGGTCAAGACAACTTTAAGCCCATAAATGCTATATTAGAGATGAAACAGTTATTTCCGTATTTTACACTGAGTTCGGTGATGATGTAATTTTTAGTAAGCTTGGGTGATTTGAGGAGGAAAAATTAAAATAATTTAAGAAGAAAATTAAGTTTGGAGATGTGTATTATAACACACATTTCTTTGTTGTATTTCAGATGACAATAAATGTAGCCTGGACACCTGGAGAACCTTGCTTTCTGATCATCCTGATTTTGCACCCATAGACTTTGATCTTGGGGGTTTAATAAAGCCCTATTTCTCCCCAAAATCATCAGGAAGCTTTGAATTAATCTTTTATGTTTTTTTCTGACTGAGGCAGAATCTCAGGGATCTGAACAGTTCCACCAACAAGGTATATCAATCACTTGTCTGCCCTGGTGTGAAATGTGGAGCTTTTAAATGTCTACTGATAATTGTAATCTGTACATTATGTCACAAATCACAAAGGAAAATTTTGTGCTTATCCCTGGTGTTCTTCCTGCAAAGAAATGCTGTTCAGCTGAGTCCCGATGCTGATTTTGCTGCTGAAGTTCCTAGTTGAGAGAACTTGCAGTACAATTAGGCTAAAAGATTGTTTGATGAGTAAGATGTTTAATTTGAATTTAAGTATGGAGTGACAAGGATGAGTGTCTAGTCTTCCATTAGAAGTTTAAGTCTTTTATTATCCTCCTCCCTTTTTTTTTTTTTTTTTCCCCTAGAATGTCATTGGAAAAGCGTTTGACCACAAACAAATTTGAACACATGAGTAATAAGGAACCTTCTTGATGCTGCTGAAGTTTGAGTAAAACAGTGTACTTGTAATATTGGAAATTTCAGACATAAATTTCAAAAAGAAAGCCTGAAAGAGACTGAAACAAGTGTGGTTTCTATTCAGGCATTACACAAAGTTGTTCTAAAAATTCTTTAAATCCATTAGAGTACATTTGTACTTTAAAGAGTTCTAGCTGTCTCTGTTATTCAAATTGTCGTGTAAACAATGTCCAAAGAATTGTTGTTACTTGTCATACTGGAAAAATATGTCAAATAAGGGCTTGCAGAGATTTGGCACTATTGAATATCAGTATTAATGACTTTCGAATAGGTAATATGGTTCTTAAAGTTGTGGATATAACCAAGTTGGAAGGGATGGCATGCGTTTTGGAGGAAAAGATTATAAATAGAGTTATATTGACAAATGGTGCAAGTAGCCTGAAACATAGGATGAAATTCAATGGGGAAAAGCAGAAAGCACTACAGTTAAATAGGAATAAAGCTTCAACGTGAATGAAATTACAAACGTGAATGAAATTACAATAACAGGAGAGGATTCAGAAGGTTTTTAGTAAATCAGGATCAGTATGAATCAGCAATGTCATACTGTCAGAAAACAAACATCATACTGGGATATATAAACAGGAGTCTTGTATGTAAGACACATGAAGTAATACTTCCACTCTACTCATTATTCCCAAGGCCTCAACAGAAGTACTGTATCCAGCTTTTGGCACACCACGCCAAGAAAGTGGAGAGAGGCCAAAGGAAAGCAACAAGAATAATCAGAAGTCTAGGAAAGACAACCCAGGGAAAGACTGACTGAAGAGGAGTTGTTTAGTCTATGGGAAAGATGACGGGCCAAGGGCACAGTGAAGTTTTCAAATATGGGGAAAACGGGAGAGCAAATTATAACCTGTTCTCTGCAGACATGGTGCATGATAATGTAAATGATCTAAAATTCAGCTATGGCTATGTCAAGTTTTCTTACTGATTGCCCATATGGATAGAAAAGTTCTGAGATTGTGTAAGAAAGCGGTGGCATCCCTAGAATTGGGATTGTTCAGTCTGCAGAAAAGAAGGCTCCGGAGTGACTTTATTGAGGCCTTTCAGTACCTACAGATGTTTACAAGAAGGCTGGAGAGGGACTTTATACAAGAGAGTGTAGTGATAGAATGAGGGGGAATGGCCTTAAGATGAAGGAGAAAAGTTTGAGATTAGGTATTATGAAGAAAGTCTTCCCTTTGAGGGTGGTGAGGCACTGGAACAGGTTTTCCACAGAAGCTGTGGATGCCCCATCCCCGGAGGTGTTCAAGGCCAGGTTGGTGGGATGTCCCTGCCCACGGCAGGACTGGTTGGAACTAGATGATCTTAAAGTTCCCGTCCAACCCAAACCATGCAGTGACTCTGATTCAGTTTTCACACCTATTTATTTAGCTGACATAACACGACACACCTGCCCCACCGGGCAGGCCCACACTGGGCTGGCCCCTCCCCTCAGCGGGGCTGTAGCCCCGCCCCCGCCCCGCCCCCTGTTGCTTGGTTACCGCGCGGGGCGTCACTGCGGGGCCGAGTCAGCGCAGCGTGCGGCGGGGAGCCGGGCTGAACCATTCGCCTGGCCGCTGAGGGGGCTGCTGTGGGGGCGTCCCGCAGCAGCTGCTGCACTTGTTGCTGTAGCTCGCGCCTTCGATCTACCGCCTCCCCCCCCCTTCTCTGGGCGCTCCCGTTGGTCTCGCCCCGCGGGGGCCATAGCGACGGCGGGCGCGCCGAGGCAAGATGGCGGTTGTGGCCCCGGCGCCGCTGCGGGCTCCGTGAGCGCCGCGCTCGCTCTGCGCCCCGTCCCCTCCTCGCTCCTGCGCCCGGCTCCGCCCGGCTGCCCTCCGCCTCTTCTCCTTCCCCGCCGGGGCCCTAGGGACCATGTCGGACTCGGAGGACGAGGAGAGTCCGGACCGCCAGCTCAAGCTGGTGGTGCTGGGAGACGGCACCACTGGCAAGGTCAGTGCCGGCCCCGCCGGCAGCTCCTCTCCCTCGCCGCGGTGCCCCGAGCCCCTTCCCGGCCTTCCCCTTCAACGCTCTCCCCGGCTCTGCTGCTGAGCAGGGAGGGAGCAACCGCGGCGGTTTCCCGTCTGTCGCGCTGTCGCGATATCCGTCTGGCTGCTCCCGGTCAGCTCCCGGCCCTTCGCGGGAGTCACGGGCTCTCCCCGCCGGTGTCCGCGCCGTGCCGGCAGCCGAGCCCTCCGACGGGTCTCCCGCACCCGGAGAGGCATCATCAACAAGTAGACGAGCACGGCTTTAATCCAATTTTCTTGAGCCGTAAGGAAAACAGCGGCGAATCACGTAATTCCTGTGGTGCTGACGGAGTTTCCCGCTGATCCCCCTGCGCTGCTGGTCGCGCGCCGGAGGCAGGAATTGCTGGGCCGGAGTCGCTGGAATAGCCCAGAGTTGCCCTCGGTGGCCCCGGGCCGGGGGCTGCGGTCGGAGCCGAGCACAGGATTCGCGGTTCCCCTCGAAAGGACGAACTGGAAGGCTCCTTAGCTGGGTCTCCAGGCGCCCCTCGTGCCGGCTGCAGAGCCACCAACCCTTCCTGGCGTGTATAGAACCCTTTGCGGCTATTGGAGTTACTGTTTCAGGGTTTGGAAAGGCACTGTTGGGTCCATTTGGTTTTTGTTTGTGATTTTATGTTTTTGTTTTATTTCCCCCCCCCCATCTAATAATCAACATAGTGAAATACAGTTTATAAAAGTTTATTTATCAACAAGTAGTACCTGCCTTTTTGAAAGAGAAATTTTGACAAAGAGAAACCAAAGTAGGCAAAAGAAAGACTGCTTTCTTACCATAAAAATAGTCACCGATCTTTTCCATACTCTTGAACGTATCTGTTGCCATATGTAGCCTGAATAATTTTGTGAGATACACCTGAAAATAGTAAATTTATTGTATGCTTGAAGTATACATTTTTCCTCTGTCATTAACTTTTGAAACTACGGGTAGTAGAAAGTTTGCCTGCCTCACAATTCATATGAAAAGTGAGAAATGTCCTTAGAGCTGTTTAAATGGAACTGCCTGGCATTAATTAATGAAAGTACCTGTGTGATTTTGCTCACTTACTTATTCAGAACCCTATGAAGAAATAAATCAGTTTTTTGTCTCCAGTGATTCTAAACCCAGTCTGAAGTGGTATTGTGTTCATCTGAGTCAGTAGATGGGCAATTCCAGGCAACTGTGTGATGAGAATGTAATAAATACACAGGACTGACAGCTGAAGTGCTGCTTCACTGGTAGCATTCCCCAGGAGTTTTCCATTCAAACTGAGGAATCCTTTCACTACTGCTCTTCAGCAACCTGTGGCAAGACCTCTCACCAAATATGGATTTTCAAGTGTTCTTGAGTTTTGATGTATATTCCTGCTGGTCCCTACCTCTCTCATAAGAGCTGCCACTCACTGAAACTCTTGCTGGCTCTAGGAGTCTCGTGCTTCCAGTGCAGGTTATTGGGCACGAGCAGCATCAATGCTGTGGTGTGCTGCTTTTCCTCCTGTCCCCTCTAGATGATGCTGTAATAGAATCTCCTTCCCGCCATCCTGATGGCCTGGAGCACACACATGAAATAATAGATTTATTGTAAGATCTTGTAAAAATAAAGAATGGAATGGAAGGGTAAAATGTACCTAGTGCAATTTCAAGCACCCCAGAAGACTAAATTGTTGAGGTTCCTCTTCTTTGTTGGCTACTTGTTCTGCTTACTTGTTGAAACATGTATATCTATGTGTTTTCAACTCTAAATATCCTGCCTTTCACATCTGGTTCACAGCTGGTCTTTACACACATGCACACTTAGCTTCTCTTTTACTGTGCAAGGTGGTGTTTTTTCTCTGCCTCTGTTGCTGGGATCATCAGACACGAGGAGTGTAGACAATAATGGCATGTGTCTGAAATATTGTATCTTGTGTTCAGTGTGAGATGTTCATGTTTGACTTCTGTCTTCTGCTCCCTCTCCTGCCAAAAAAAAAAAAAAAAGGAGGGGGGTGTAGAATTTTATTTCATTAAGAATGCTTGGCCATCTGGGGTTGTCTGGTCTTTGCTTCTCCAGGAAAAAGAAATGCTGTGAGTCAGGTGTAAACTTGCTTTCTGTTTTCCTTACCCATTGTTTAGAAGCTGTGTGACTCAGGATCTGTGCAGGGATTGGTAGTAGCTTAAAAACAAATCAGTGTCAGTTCAAACTGAGGGTAATATACTTCCACTAGGTGGGAATTGCTTTATCTATGAGGCAAGGGAGGGATATTGTGCTTCAATTCGTTTGTTTTGAGGTGCTTAAATGAATGACTGGATACTTAGAATTTTAAGGGTCAGAATAAGCACTGCTGGAGCAAACTCTTAAGTAGAGAAGAGTAAAAATGGAAGAAGGAATAAGAGGAGTAAGACAGAGTAGAATCTATAAAACTATTTGGGTAAAATAGAGATGGTAAGGAAATGGTGAATTGTTGAAAAGAAAAACTGAGGGAGGCATGACTGGTTAGGAAAAAGATAATAGAGAACGATTTTTACAAACTAGGAAAGCAATCTAAAATCAGAGGCAGGGACAATGTGAAATGAAGATAAACAGCAATTATTAATATCAGTTTTGTCTTTGATTTTGATTACAGGAAGGAACATGTATACACACAGCAGCCTTATGTATCTAGCTTTTAAATCAACCCCCTCTTCCTGAGCCAAAATGATTTTACATTAAAATAAACCCTCATTACCAGTATGGATTAAAAAAAAAGTTATGGCCCAGATATTTCTACTCTTTTTGTGCACAGATTGTCTTCATATTGAAGTATGTAGTGATATCGATTTAAGGTACATTGCTTTGATCTGCTACTGTTGAAAAAGATTTTGGGCATCTGGAAGCCAGTCTTGGAGCTATTCATGGAAAGGAAGGTGCTGAAGAATAGGTGTGCTGAGGTTCTGTCTATCTGCTGTCTCTTGTAGCTGGGACTAATGTATGGTAGTAGAAACATACTACCTTTTCCTATTAACAATGACTGATTGTTAAAATGAAAGAATGAATGCTTGAGCTGGTAGGGGAATTTGCAGAGCTAAAACATAAGCTGGCATAAAGAATGGTGTCCTGCTTGCTTTAGGATTTTTTAGGATATCAGATTTTTAAGCATTGAGCCAATTCTGGATTGTCTTGTTACACTTGGGTTCAAAAACTTCATCAATGTTGTAAAAAATGTTGTCACTGCTGAGTCTTGCAAAATGAATCGAGTGTCCTGTGCAGATTGGCCCAGCTATGTCAAATAGATCAACATCAAATATCAAAAAGTCATAATAATCTTCTCTTTTTCAGTGAACAAAGTTGCATCAGTAGTTGGGAGTGGATGGAAATAGATCAGCTTGGACAATTGTTTTTATGGTAGTTAAAACATTTCATTATTTAGCCTCATGTTTCTTCTAATTTTGTCTGTCCTAACATTTTTCCCAGTAGGATAGAACATGACTCAGGGGTGAGTGTTGCTGTGTTTGGATAAGAGCATTGATATTCTGGAAGGGAGTGAGGAGAGGGGTAGATAGATATGTTACTTTTTGGAAATTAGCTGGTGAAGTTGGTATTGCATGGAAAATCATGACTTTGGAACTATGTGCTTGCACCCAATTGAATTTAGGGTTGAGTTTTCTTTCTTCCAACTATGATAGTACACTTTGGCATTGCTTTCTCAAAGGTTTCTTCTATAGGATTTTACTCAAAGAATTGTCATTGGTGGGGCTTTTTCTAAAAGTTTCCATATTTCTGTGGTGTGTGGTCAGTGTCAGAGCTGGCTATCATTGCTTGTTCTGCTTGACTTACAATTTACTTCCATTTATTGACTTTTCAATTTATTTCATAGATATTGTTTTTTTTTCCCATTTGTTCATTATGTAGGTGTTTAGGAACAGCATGTCATCAGTTTATACTGAGTTGTTGACATTGGAAAATAGAAGCAAGAAACTGTCATGCCTTGCATATGAGGATAAATGCCATCTTTTCTTCTTTCAATAAAACCCTGTCCCAAATATCCCATTGTATTTTGCCCCTAGAATACTGTAAATTTTATGTACTATTTTTTACAGGTATCTTGGTTGCTGTATATTAGGGCTTAAAGACCTTTTCTTGACTGAAAGGAGGGAATTTGTAAAGGCAACCTTCAATAGCATATTGATATTTAGAATAGGTTGTCAACATTCACTTTGAGGTATTTAGGACAAATGTGTGAACCTGCCAAACTGATCGAATTTCTGATGGAAATTCTGCTGTTCGAGTTGGTGGCCTGGTTGTCTTAGTAGAGATGTGAAGGATCAAGGCCTTCATACTGTCATACTGTTCTCTGATCTCTGCATTAAGAGATGGAATTGTATGGAGTACAATCTTTTTAGGACATGAACACTGACCACTTATTTATTTTTACAACTACAATTCTACTAAACTTTTCTTTTTTTTTTTTGTATTTTTTGTTAGTTTTTACATAGATTGGACTCAGCATATCCTCTCAGGCAAAACTGTTGTGCAAAATCTTCTATGGCAAGCATGGCAGGGAACACTTTTGGGATTTAATGGGAGTATTTGCATTGTAGAGGTACTTGAATATGCATTGACAGAACTTCTTTGTTTATTGTTGTAGAGAAGTTTCAACTGTTGCTCTTAGTATTTTGTGGATAAATGCTTGTTCTGTGAATAAATAGAGGACTCTAGTCTGGTAATCCAACACCTTCTTGAGCTCTAACATTTATTAGAAAAAATTTAAAAAGAGTTAGTCAATGATTTTCTGCTATAAATTCCTTTGCATTCAACAGCACAGTAGAGAAAAACAGTTTAAGAGAACTTTGCCATGCTGTTGATGACTTGCTGCTCTTACAGGTTGGCTGTTAATTGAATGTATGTTGTTTATTTTTACTAACACCCCTAGAAGCTCTCAGGGAATATTGAGTGTCACAGAGTGATAAGCTAATATTTACTGAGCCTTTAAAACAAGAAGGGAGTGGTTACTTATTTAATGAGGATCTAAATTAGTATGTTGGAGAATGTAGAATTCCATGATATAGTCAGATGATACTTTAATCTCTACTGCAGGCACTGGTTACTTTTCCAAAAAAGGAAAATTTCAAGGAAAAGGCTGAAGGTTGTATTTCTGCAGTCTTCTTGTTCTCATCTACATCTTTAAGGTCATGACAGATCAAACATAATGTCTTTTTAATTTTGACATGCTAACTACTGTGATTAAAAGAATCAACTCTACTGACTTTTTCAATACTATAGACTGAATCTGTGTTGAATTTTATTTTGTGTGTTGTCAGTGTTACTGTCACATAGCTGAAGGCAGAAGAATATTCTTACGATTCATCCTCTGTGGTCTTCCTCCTTTCCACGCTGATATAAATATATAAGCATACTCTTACTATTTGTAGTTTACTTGCCTTTTCCCCCATTTATTTATTTAGTTTTAATCCTCTCAGGGCTTGAATGCTGTGCAGTAAATGAAAATGTTGCCATAATCTATAATTGACAATTTGGGTTACTACCTAATGTATCTTCTGATATCAAAATATCATTCATTATGTATACGGCAGTGATAGGAATATAAATATGATATAGAAACAGGAAATACAATAGTTCACAGGAAATTTAATAGTTGAATAAATCTTTGCCTGTTCATACTAGAGCTTTAATGCTGGAGCTCTGGTGATCATGTTTTAATGCAAAAAAACCAAGTTACCTTTTCTTCCTGTGTATGTTTGACATCATTAGCCTAATTTAGATATTTGTTGTAACCATCCTATTCATAGACCTTGCCTATTCTCATTTTTCAGAACTATTTGCATTATTTTGCTGTTGAATTTTTACTAAATGTGCTCTAACCGCAGTTTCTAGTAACAATTGGTGTGACTCATCTCTTTGGGTCTTGATGAACAGAAAACTGGCAAAAAAAGAAAAACCTTCTTGCCTGTTTTGAGTTTTCTTGGATGGTGTAAGGATTTTCTGAGGCTCTTAGTCTTTTTCCCTCCCTATTATGTAAATGCATATTTAGATTTTTTTCTGTGCTTAATTTGTATTTATATTTACAAATGTCATGTCAACAAGAGATTTGTAAGTGTACACCACTAATTTGACGTAGGATGTATTTTATGATTTTTAATAAAGTGAGTTTTTTTGCAGTACAAACTTTTGTATTCTTTATGATTGTACCACTCTTTTCTCCTTTACTTTTTGTTGACCTTTCTTTTTTTCTTTCTTTCTTTCCCTTTCTCTTCCTCCTCTATTTTTTTTTCTTTTTTTGCCTTGCATGGAGATCTTAAATTGCTATTCAGTTGCTACTGACATAATATAAATGCCTTGCTTCATTAGTTTATCTAGGTTGGTTGTGAATCCTTTTATCAGTATGTAGTAAAAGCTGATTATTAGATCAACAATGTATTGGTCTGCTTTCATAAATGCATAAAATATCAGTTGAAGAAATAAGTTTCCAAAGTTCTGCTGCAAGGAATGATTCTGCAAATGTGCAGAACTTGAGTTTAGTTTTTTTTTCTGTGTGCAAAAAAGTATTCTTCCCATCTTATACTTCCTTTAGTCCCTGATCCTGAAACTGATGTGCAGTGGCAGGAATCTCACCACACTTAGTTCCTGTGGGACTCTGCACTGTGCAGATCTCTGTTGTCTCCCAGAGGGTTGGTTTGGGATTATGGTGTTCTGTACCAGGGGATGACCCTTGTTTTGGAAAGGAACGTTTTTAAAAATATTAAGATCTTCAGATACAAAGAGTGTCACTTAGATTTGTGTCAGTTTGAGCATACTAATGATTCCTTATTCGGATCTGCGTATAATTTTTTAATATTATTATTATAGTATTTTTGAAATCAGGAAATATGCACCTTGCTTCTTTTTGCATAAATTAGTAGCCTCTGCTTCCTCCTGTTATTATGTTGAAGCTGACTGGACTGCTTGTCAATCCAAATCCATGAACACTGTTAGCATTCATTGATTTAAGAAGTGCTTAACTGTATTTCATACTTCTGGTTTAGCATAAAGCTTTTTGCTGTTTAAAATGACAACTTAATTTGATGCTGTTCTGTTTTAGACATCCTTAGCTACACGTTTTGCCCAAGAAACATTTGGAAAGCAGTACAAACAAACCATAGGACTGGACTTCTTCTTGAAAAGGATATTATTGCCAGGTAAGAGAATAAAAACTAACACTGAAAGATTGGGTGACAGCAAGACTTGCAGAAACAGATTCTTCAAAGTAATGTGTACTCAATAAGCTTAGTACAGTGATTTTTATGGCAAAGTAAATTAGGTTGTTCAGAGAAAATTTTGTTAGTACGTTCTTGCCAGGTGACAGTTACGTGTCTGCAACTTGCATCTCTAAGTAAAACACTGAGTTCAAATAAAAGGAATGCTGTCTATATTGATGAATTTTATTATCCCTGCTTGAGTGCACTCTCTGTCCATGTGGATAGTGTAACACAAAACAATGAAATGGAACTTTAAATATATTAATTGGAAAAGTGTATGTGTTTTGAAGGAAATACATATATATTTTTAATGAAATACACAACTTCTGTTTGAGTTGTGTGAGAGAAGCATAATGCAGCTATGGACTTGCAGTGCTCTAATATGTGAATGCTGTTTTATGCAAGGCAGCATGAAATTGCTGGCATTTAATAGACCACTAAAATTTAGGGTCCCTTGGCACTCATAAAAATACAGTTTGAGCATTCAAGATGTTTCACTTCACGATGGCAAAGAAACTATTTAGGTGCCAGTTGCTGCACACTGCATGGAAAATGCAAAGAAATAATTAAAAAAGAATAGTTGCTGGTACAAGTTTGTCTTTGAACAATTGGGGATTTGAAATAAGTCTTTTTATTGATCGTGTTTGCTCCTATTCTAAGTATGCAAGTATTAAGTGCATTTTCTTCTGGATTCAGAAATCAGAAGTAGTTAGAAAAAGTATGTGTAATTATTAAAAGTTTTAGTGAGATTTGATAAAGTTGACTCAAGTTCTGTAGTTTTGTCTTTTTTCCTTGAGAAGAGTGGGGAGGGAAGCAAACCCAGAAATTAAACATTTTATCTATAACCTGAAGTTATAAGAAAATATATGCAGTTCTTGAACTTGTTTTTTAAAAATTATATTGCCAATAATTTCGTCATTATGTTGATATATTTTCTTAAGTGAAACAATAATTTTTTCAGACTATTCCTTCATTCACTGTTTTGGTGTGGTCATTTTGCTGTACTTTTTTAGTATCTGGTGAGTGATAAAGTACCAAATTCTAGTGCTTATTTCTTCATAAAATCAACAGAATAATTTTTTTATTGTGCTGCTCATGCCTCTAAAAATACCAGTGTACATATTACTTAACAGCAGTACTTGCAAGTGGAATGTGTCCACAAATCATGCAGTGTGCATGCTGAGAACTTTTATTTTGCAAAGTTTTTTTCCTGCTGTTAAGCATACAGAAGCTATTAGTACATTACTGGGATTCTAAATATTCTTGTTGAGTAGAAAATTTGGAAAATTATCAACTATTGCTTCATTCATTTTTTTTCATAGTTTATTTTGTGTGTGAATTTCGTTGATTCATAGTTTATTTTGTAATAAAATCAGTATGTAGGTGAAAATAGCACCAAAAAGTCTGTACATCTATTTTCCTCATCATTAACAAAACAGTAATGTTTGTATTCATATTCAGGAAGATACAATGTTTGTGGGTTGTCATTCTGGTTTTGTTTATGCTTCTGTATGTGTTTAGGTATATATGGCTCCCTGTGTTTTATAGGTAAGCTGGACTGGTCATGGGGAGTGAGAGGGAGGGAGGGAAGGTGGTAAAATTTCTAAATACTGGAATGGGAAGCATTACTTTAGTAAGCGGATTTTTCTAATTTCTCGATTAGTTCTGGGTTTGCAGAGCTGCTATGTTTACTTGAAAGGTTAGTTGATACCACTGCACAGAAATTACGTGTGTATCAGCAGGAAAAAAAGCCTCGATTTATCTAGAAGGAGAATTAATGAATAACTGTTGTTCAGTAGTTGGGTTTTTTCCTTCATCAGTGTAAGCAAAGATTTCAGAAGTTAAAACTCCCTGTTTCTAGAATTGCACAAAAGTTTACATTAGGCCACATTAGAAATACCTTTTAGCTTGTAAAATAAAGTACTGTTTTTCTGGGGGTTTCTTGGTTTTTGTAAGATAAAAGTGGTATTTTTCTCCAGTTGTTTTAGCAACTAATGCAGTTTTTCAGTGAAAATAGTAAATATTTTACATGATAAAACAATATAGTTTAATACAAATGGTAAATCCTTTGATTTTGAACAATGACTTCTAGTATTCAGCTTGACAAATTCACTTCATGCAGTTTGGTCAATTTTTTTTTTTTTTTCAAATGCAGATTGGTTTTGTTATATTTATTGATGCAGAATCTTGTATAGTCTGGGTGCAACCATGGTGTGGATTTTAGTGCTTAAACAGTGTATCTATTAGTCAGAGTGTCTACTGATAGAGCTCCTAAGAGCCATAGTCATATACGTTTTGGAAGGTTGTGAATGCAGTTCAGTAGACAGGATTCTTCTGTTTAAAGGATTTTTTAAAAGTCATTGGTGCAAAAAGTGGGCAGACTTGTGTTTTCAGTTCCATCCTGACTGTACAGCACTGTAAGTGAGGTTAACCAGTGCATCACGTGTGTTCCTGCAGGATCACTGCTACATTAGCCCAGGGGCTTCAGTTCATAGCAGAAACAGTCTAGATACCAACAGAAAACTTCATTTGCTACTGTCATAGTTGTTAATTAAATATTTGGTAGGCAAATTATCTGGAGTTTTTAATTTTGTCTAAATAATCTTAACATCCTTTTTTCTTCCCCAGAATCAATCTGAGCACAAAGCAAGTATAATAGAACCTAACTGAAAAAAAGGGAAAATGAAGCATTTTGCACAGGAGATCATCAGCATGAATTTCAGGAGTTAGTGAGGTCCTAATTCACAACCAGTTCACCTTAAATGAACATACCAATCTTTTTTTTTTTTTCTACCCTGTTTCTTTTTTCTGTTGTTAGTGAAGGAAAGTAAATAATTTCTAATAGTAGATTTTTTTAGTTGAACAGTCACTGTTAGACCATTTAATTTAACTGCATAAAAATTTCTCAGGTCGTTCCATGCAGTTATCCAGATACTAAGCCCAGTATACCGTTCATAATTATTACTCTTAGGAGGAAAGATGAAGTTAGAAACTTCTTAAAGCACTTGAACACAAAATTAGGCATCTGAAAATTGTTGAGTATGAAAGTGATAATATTTATAAAGATTTTTTTTTCAAAACAACTGGCATGAATGACATGGTGACATTCCAGTAGAATACATAGGGGTAGACTACTATATAGCATGGTGAGCCTTTGAGTATGCATAGTTTGTTTACACTGAGGATGTGTAGTCTTTTAGACTGTGAGTTCACCAGTTTATCTATGCCAGATGCTTTATGGAAGACTTTCCTGCATTGTTTGCAGACATTTATGTTCTAAGCTTTTAAAAACCCTGAATTATTCATAGTATATGCACTATCAAAACAAATAATCTTTTCACTCATTATAATTTTTCCTTTATTGAACTGGAATGTTTATGATGTGTTTTCTAAGCTCCATTTAGAAAACCTCTTAGTATTAGATAAAAGTCAGTGTAGCTTAAAAGTGCTGTCTCACACTCATCTCTATATTTTTGAGACCAAAGTAGTAGTTTTGGAAATCTTTACTTTTAACCAGATTAAAGTCAAATGCGTTATGAAAATATGAGTGTGATATATTTAATACCATAAATAGCATATATTCAGCTGTATAGTTTTAAGTTGCTGGTTATTTTCGTGCATTGCTGTGATATATTTCCATGAAGCACACTCCCTTGTGTAACCAATGCGAGCATGTTAGTTATAAATTGACAGCTGAATAGATCACGTTGTGTAAAATAAGTTTGTTAACTATATAAAACAGTTGAATTAAGAATATATCTTTCTTAGCAGCCCAAAATGATTTGTTCATTTTCACTCATTTCTCAATTGTTGTGTTGTGGAATTTATTGCATTGTTTTAAAATCTAGGAGTAAAACTAATAGGCACTTGTGATTATTTGTGCATAAGTAGAGTTGATATTAAATGTAATTCGTGTGAGTTGTATGTAGATTAGAAAAGGTTTTGTCAGTCCTTACTCTGTTAGAGTGGTGTTCCCAGGTAATCAGTACAGTTTTGAAATCAGTTCTTACCATGCAAAATGAGACAAATTATACTTTAATATATTTGTACGTATAAGGTTACATACCTTTCTCTGTGTTTTGATCTGTGCATTTCTTAGTTGTTGGCTTACAGAATATGTATGACTTCTAGGATATTAAATATTTTGTATTTACACTGATTTTTTTAATTAGTTTGTTTTTAAAAACCTTTTAGCAGTTTCAACATAGCTTAAAAACTGTTTAGAATATGAGGGAAGGTCTATTCTTAGTACAGATTCTTTGAAAATGAAATTATGTAAATCATACCCAATTTAGCTTCCTGCTTTGGGGTGGTGGGTGGAGGAAGTAGCACAATTTGCATCCTCAACTTACGTGTGTATTGATACTTCCTTTTTTTTAATCTGTCAACTGTATAATTCTTTAGCTGTATACTACTATCAGCATCACTGCCAAAGTGAAGTTACCTGGTAGGTTTTCCTCTCTTCTAGATTTGTAGAGATGATTTGTGGTGGGGTGGGGAAAGGACACACTGTATGAAAAAATCTGATTAAGTTGGCACTGATTGTGTTACCTTTCTGTTCCCAGCACTGTGCTATAGAACGTTCTCTGTAAAGTTTTACATGTTTCTTCAGTGGAGTATGTTATATAATTTCTAGTCAGGAGTGTTATAATGTATGCAATTCCAATTATTTTCCATTGCTATTAAATATGTTAATATCTAGCTATAGTTTTACTGTGTCTTAATGACTTAGCAGGACACAAATGACTTTTTTCCAAATGATACAATCATCTGTTGAAATTTAGTTCCTATTTATTGTATACTTGTAAAAAGCTATTGATGTTGATATGCTAGAGCTGTATTACCTACTCTGATAATATATCTTTATTATCTAAATTTTTCCAGGTTACACAATATCTATAATTTTTTTTCCCTCAGGAAATTTGAATGTTACTCTTCAAGTGTGGGATGTAGGGGGACAAACGATAGGAGGCAAAATGCTGGATAAATATATTTATGGAGCTCAGGTACAGTATAAATGTTGATAATTGTATTTATAGTAACAATATAAAATTAATTGAAACTTTTTTCTTAAAATTATGCATACATACATCCATCATGCAGAACTTTTAGTTTGTTGTGTTATAAAGCTCAAAAATTTTGTGGAGCTCAGGTAACTATTAATGCTGATAAGTGTATCTGTGGTAATGATATTAAATTAATTGAAACATTGTTCTTAAAATTATACATACATAGATACATTATACATAGCTTTTAGTTTGTTGTTTTGTAAATCTCAAAAATGTTGAATCTCTGTTCAATCTAAACTTAATTGATATTAATATGCTAATTTAATTTTCACGTATGGCTGATTTTTTAGAGCTGACATAAAAAGGAAAGCAAGAGTACACATTTGTAGATCTGAATAACTCTCCAGAACAGATGTTTGTTTCCAGGCTTTGTGTCTTGAATTAAGAAAAGCAATCACAGTAAATGGTAAAGGCTATTTGTATATCCACGGTAGATAGAGTGGCTGCTTTTAGAACAGCTGCCTCCTGGGGGGAAAAAGTAGAAGGAGGAAATTAAGAACAATCCTACACCATTAAACTCATACATGCAACTGGGGTTATAAGAAGGCAAACAAAAGGAGGCAACCAGGTAGCTAAATATTTTTGCAGAACTCCTATCCAGTGAAAATTAGTTTTGTCTTGAAGGTAACTGAGAAACTTGAAGTGAATGGTAGGATTAAGAAAAAGCTAAATAGTATAACATTATAATGTTAATATATATATAATACTGAATCATGAGATGATTTAGGAGGATGTATTATATACCAAACTTCTTAGCATGAGCGATCCTAAAATGTATTCTGTTCCTTAATTTGGAGTTTGTAATAAGAACAACAGGCAAAACGTATTTTATTAGATAATATTATGTGAAAAGAAAACAAACACTTAGTTCTTTTTTCCCAGTAATTTAAGAAATAAAAATATGGAATCCTAAAACTCTTTTGGACAGAAACTTTATATTAACAAGTATAACACAGAGATTAGGAACTGTTAGTTAATGGGATAAAGTCAAAGTTGTCAATGTAACATTTTGTCACTTTGAAAAAAAAGTCTGAATGTTTTTAGCTGTTGCATCTGTTTTATAGCATTTTCTTTTTTTTTTAAATAAAAAACTATTTGCTGCCTGTTACCAAGCAATAGGAGAAAGTGGCTTCCATGACAGAGGAAATTTGATTAATCACAAATTGTTGCCATATGCCCAAAGTAAAATCAGTGGAGGAAATAAAAGACTATTAACTTTGTTGGTATTGAATTTGGTGATAAACTTAGGAGTTTCTTATCAGAAACAACAGGTCAAAAAGTTAATACCAGTGCCCAAAAGTAGTGAAAAAGTTGATATCAGTAAGACTAAAGTTTGATTTTTCTAGTCATTCAGAGCACATTAACAAAAAAACCCCTATGTCCAATCTCTTTGACTTTAATCCTCCCTCAACCTTCATTGTAACCCTAATTTTTTTAATAGACTAGTTACTCCCATTGTTGGCATGTATTGCCAATGTCTGTAATAGACTTCTTATCATCAAATCTGACTTCTAAGACACTTTTCTATTAGCTTTGTTACAGTCCCTGCTAAAAACACGTAAAGCTATCTTTATTTTCATCTGTTCATGAAATGTCATGAAGAGTTTGGAAAGGCACTGCTTTCAGCTTATTTCTAGGCAGAAGCTTATTGCATGTTGAACATCTGTAGCTTTTTATAAGAAAAAGGGGAAAGGTAAAGTAGAACAAGTAGGAGTATTTATAAAGGAAAATCCTTTTAAATACAGATAAAAATTCTTGTGAATGGACAGCAAAACAGCAAGAAAGTAATGAGGAAGAGGTAGCATGGAATTAGCAAGAGTTAATTGTGCCGAGCCAACTTGATTACCTTCTGTGGTTAAATGGTTAGCTCTGTGGAGGGGAGAGAGTGGATATCATTTATCTTGACTTCAGCAAGGTCTTTGATATAATCTCCCATAATGTCATTACAGTATGTAGAGATACAGGTGGGATGGGTGGACTAAAAATCTGAATGGACAGCTGGACTTAAGGGGAGATGGTCCATAGCTCAGTGTCTTACTGGTGCCTGATTATAAGTTGTATTCCTTAGGGGTTGGTACTAGAGTTGTGTCTTTTATTAATTCTTTGAACAATGGAACAAAACACTGTATGTGAGTAGCACGAAATTGGGGAACAGTGGTCATTGTGCTGAAGTGTAGGGCTGCTGTTGAGAGAGGCCATGACTAGCTGAAGGAGTGGACTAACAGAAACTTTGTGGATGACAAATGTCAAGTCCTGCACCTGCTACAGAATAATCTTATTCCAACTGGGAATCAATTGTCAAGGAATCAGCTGGAGAGTGTGTAGCAAAGGGTCATGAGGCTGATTAATGGACTGGAGCATCTTTCCTACGAGGAGAGGCTTAAGGAGCAGTAGTAACTGTTCAGGGTGGAAAATAGAAGGCTTATCTATGTATGTACATACATGAAGGAATGATGCAAAGATGGCAGAACCAGGCTCTTCTCTGTAGTGTCTGTTGACAGAACCAGAGGCAATGGGTACAAACTGAAATACAGGGGGTCCTTTTGAACATCAGAAAACACTTTTCTCACCATGAGAATGACTGAGCACTGGCAGAGGTTGACAAGAGAGGTTGTAGAGTCTCCATCCTCTGAGATATTCAGAAACCATCTGGACATGGTCCTTGGCAGCTGGCTTAGGTGCTTCAACAGGACCACTGAACCAGATGACTTCTAGAGGTCCCTTCCAACCTCGGTCATTGTGTGAAATGGCTTTGGAGTGAAAAGCCCTTGGATGGGTGTCCTCCTGGGGAAAAAAACAACAGTCAAACGAGAGTTTGCGATGCACCCTTTTAACAGTAGAAGCTAACTGAATACTGAGCTGTGTTAGTAAGAATGAAGTGGTCAGATCAAGGAAAGTGATTATCATACTGTCTGATGTTTTTGAGGCTGCATTTGGAGTATTGTGTTCAGTTTGGGGTTCCCCAGTACAAGAAAGTATTTAAAATATTGAAGTAACGCAGTGAAGGTTGCTGCAGTAGAACTATGTGTGCCTATGATGTGTTGTACTTGGTCAGCACGTTTGGTGCAACCGGGATTTTAAACATCTTGTTTGTAAAATACACAAGCTGCACAGATACATATAGAGTAGATGATTTGAATCTGTTGCAGAAATTGTGTTCATCTGTGTGTTCTCCAAATCTAAATAATTCAGATTAACATGTGTGGAATGGTTTGTAGCATACCTACATTATGCATCATGCTTTTATCCAGTATTTGCAGATGCCCATAGCCTCATATAGACTTCCATCTGGTTGGTCATTGTGAGATTTGGGAATCATAAGTGGCAGAATTCTTTGTTTATGCTCAGAAATCTTAAGTGTATGGTAAACTTACTTATAAAATACTATAACCAGCTGGAGATGGAAGTTTTGAGAATCTAAACAGACACTGAAAAGGTTGTCTATGATCTACAGTTCAACCAGATGTTGGTTGGAATTTGATAAGGATATCAGAAGGACTAAGTGGAGCATCCGTTTAAACTTTGCTGCAAACCTTGCCAACTGGAGGTTTCCTTTTCTTCGAATGAGAGCTCAGTCAATTCTCTAGGATAGATCTTTTGGTTATGTTACTGTTAAGATACTGTATTTTGATTGAGATCCCTAACTTCTTGTGCCATGTTTTAAAATAAGAATGGCAAATTTGAGCATGAAAACCTACATAGTTTCCTTGCATAGTTGCAGTTGGATAAAGTGCAATTCACCTGTTGTCTTGAAGCGGTTGCTTTCCCCAGTCCCATTTTTTCTCTTTGATGTTGCTCATTTAGAACATTATAGCTGATGCGTCTTGGTAGCTGCATTTCAGTGGTGGGTCAGAAGAACTTGCAAGCTGTGGGGAAAAAGGAGCTCTTTGTTCTTTATAAATAAAAGGTGTTAATAAGCAACACTGACAGAAAGCTGTTTAAAACTGGCGCATTTATCTCAAAATTGAGAGAGGCTAAGAGTAATTGTGTAGTCAGTTGCCACAGCTGTACTGATAGACAGTAGCTCATTCAATTATGGCAACTCAATCATGCGTATTTGAGTGACCATGTCCTCAGTATCAACAAAGACAACAGTGGTTGAGTATATGTGGACTGTAAACTGTTTTCACTTGCAAAAATAGCATTTTTGGAAATATCTAAAGTGTCATAATGCAATTGCTTTTTACTGAATGAGTATTCTATGACTAGAAAAAATACTTCAGAATTTTGGTCTGACATTTAATGAAAATGAATGAAAATTCGAAAGTTAATTTAGTTCCTTCATACTAAAGTCAGTCATAGGATAAGGGTAGCTGAGGATTAATCTGAAGAAGAAAACATATGGTTTTAATTACTGTTTTCTGTAGCTTCCTTTTATTGTGACAAATCTTGACGTAAACTTGACACCTTTTAAATGTTGCTTGTCTAATGCAAATATATGCCCGTTACAAACACTTCCGTCATAGCAGTTCTGCTGTAAAATAACTGCTACTGTGGTAAATCTATCAGAACCACTCCCATCTCTTACCTGTAATTGCTACTCCTACCCACATATCTAGTTTAAATTATCTTTAAGTTCTGGTATATGCTACCTCAGAAATTGGCTTGTTAGTAGAATAAGAGTATTGCAGAGTCTACTTTCTCCAGGGACCAGCCAATAATTTCTGCAATATTCTCAGTTTCCACTGACCTATTTTTGAAAATGCTCTATAATTCCAAAACAAAAAGCACTCACGTATGCACTAATGTAGGCAAAATGTCTCTCTTACTAGAGTGCAATTATGCAAGCAGGGACTATTTGCCATGCTGCTGGAGACTAGAGAATTAACGTGCTGTTCTTGGCATGTCAACCACCATGTGTTTCAAACCTTTTTCACTGCAGGAAAATACACTACTTTTGTGTAAAAAGGCCAGTGTTAATTTTCCACCTTAATTCCTCATACATGATAGGGAAACAACAGGTTTTATACTGTCTACTTGTTCTGTACTTCATAAATTGTAAGCTTGTGGAAAATGTGAAAGTTTTTTGAAAGCAATGATGGAATTTCTCTGTTAAATAAAAAAAGGTGACATAAATTTTAGCCATGGAGTCATGACTATTCCTTCATTAATTATCTGTATTATAGTAAGTTGCTTGTAGAGTGCTGTTGAGATAAAAATCTAAGGAGAAAGTATTCTTTATGACCTAGGTGCCATGCTGCCTTCTTTTGCATCTCTAAGATGTCTTACCTGTCATCTTTATTTCTTAAACATAGAAGATATTGACAAGATTTAAAAAAATGGTTAAGAAAGGAATGTGCTTTAGAGGCAATGTTTTAGATCACAGAGAAAGGGACCAAATGGAAATTAGGTGGACTCGAGTTGCAGACTTCGTTCAATGATCCCTTTTGTGGTGAATCTTACTGTGAATACTTCTCTTCCAAAGAGGTAGGTAGGCTGCAGTTGTCTAGAGGACATGTAGCAGAGTAGAATTTTGTTGAAGAATTAGTTAGAGTTGGCTGACCTTGAATGCTCAGACTCTCTTTTTCTTTCATCTAACTGATTAGTGCTGAAGATGGTTTAGATAGTCTGCTCTTCCACAAACTGGTGAGAGAAAGTGGCTACTGGTGAAAGAAGCATTGCCCTGTGCTCTTCTTCATTTACAACCTTCAGCCTTATGGCTGGTATTTTTTATTAACCTTTGACATACCTGTCCTTTAGCTTGAGTTTCTTCTTTTCCACTGAACATTTAATAACACAAGTATGTCCTTCCAAGAGCAAGACTTAGATTGTGAAAGACAATTATGTATGTGCACAGGCATTTGGGTAAAGACAGTCAGAAGAAGTTAACTGAGATGCAAGATATTAAGGAATAAATTGTACCAAAATTGGAAGAGGGAAGTGGGAGTTTAAAATTAGATTTGATTGCTAAAGAAGGAAAGATAGCAAGGGTAAAGTGTCATAATTCTTAATTTTCTTGAAGGAATTGGTAAAAGCTGTTCGTTAGAAAATAGCAGCTATATAAATTTAAGGAACAAGAACTTATTTTGCCAAGGTATTATTGATGTTGGAGGAAAAGCGGTAGATTGGTATTGTTGTCATAAGAAAGTAGGAGTTGAAGAGATCTCAGTAGGATCTGTTGCCCTCCTTCACAGCTATACATGTATAATGCCTATTTCATTTTTGGCAACCTTAAAAAATTTTCCAGTGTTGGTGACTTTGTTATAGGTGGTGTATTTCAGAGCTTTGACATTCTTACTGTCTCCATAGGGTGTTTTTTGTTTGATTTTACACTTGCTGTAAACCTATTGCTACGTTGTTGTGTTGATCACAGATGTGTAAGAACGTTCAGGGTGGAAGGGATCTCAGGAGGTCTGTAGTCAAACCTCCTGCCCTAAGTAGTGTCAGCTGGGGGATGCAACTAGGCTGCTCAAGGATTTATCCAGTTCCTGCCTGTAAACCTCTAAGGATGGAGACTGGGCAACCTTTGGGTCAACCCACTTGATTTTTGTAATGGTAAAAAAGCTTTTCATTATATTTAGCTTGAATTTATCTTATTTCAGCTTATGCCCATTGTGTTTCATTCCCCTGCTGTGCAGTATTGTGAAAAGCCTGGCTCCATCTCCTTCATAGCTTCCTCATGGGTATAGAAGGCTCAATTTGGGTCCTCCCATGGCTACCTGCTCTCCATGCTGAAGAATTCAGATTCACTCATCTTTTCCTTGTAGGACAAGTACTTCAGCCTCTGATCATCTTGGTGGCCCTCTGTTGAACTTACTCCACTTCACTGATGTCTTGAGGGGCATAAGGATGTATTCTGGCTGGATGCATCCTTTCAGATATGACCTGACAAGTGCTGAGTAGAACAGTTCCTTGGTCTAGTGGCTGTGCTTCTGCTAATTCAGCCCAGTTGGCCATCCTTGTGGGCAGGGAACGTTGCTGGCTCGTATTTGGCTTGCTGTCTAATGAGACCTGCAGGTCATTTTCAGTTGCGCCCCAGCCAGTCAGTCCCCCCCAACCTGTATTGTTTATTCCTCTGCAACTGCAGGACTATGCACTTATCCTTTTTGAATGTCGAAAGATTCCTGTTCACCCATTCCTTCAGCATGTCTACACAGTCCTGCTGTCAGGCATATTGGCTGGTCCTCCCAGTTTAGTGTCATCTGCAAACTATATATAAGATCATACACTAAGAGAACTGTTATCTTCTCTTGAAACTTGTACCAGCGTCATCATGCCTGCCATCAGTCTTGTATTTGTTAAACTGTCCAATTTTTGCCCAATTTTCTCCTGTCAGTCATGGTTTCTAAAACTCTGATATTGTTACTGGTCTGTAGAATTATAGTCTACTCTTTTTTTGACACTCAGTGTCCAAAACTGGATGCATTATTTCATCTGGAGTGTTTCATGTCAATGTGATATTTGCAAAATAAGCCTGACATGTTCAAATGTGGTCTGTAACTCCTTGAAGCTATTGTATGGAACCTGCTATAAAGCCAGATGCTTCCTATTGTGCACTTGATTATTGCTTCCTTTGAACTTGTCATGGTATTTATTGAATTGAATTCTATTGTTTTTACATTGTTTCTCATCATATAATCTAAACTATTCTCAAATAACCTTACAGTCTGTACCAGTTTGTTGTCATATGTGAAATTAATTAAATAAGTGTGCACTCTGTTTTGTGATCCAAGACACTTCTTGTAAAACTATCAATTAAAACTGGGCCCAGACAAATGCCTGAAAAAACTTGACTTGAAAAATCTTTTCTGTTGATATTGGATCATTGAACCAGCTACTTTTGTATGCATTATATTATTTATTCAGAGTATTTGTGAAAATTTCATGTGAGAAACAGTGTGCAATTGCAGGGGTTTTTTTTCCTAGGTGTGAACTCCATGAGAACAACTGCAACTGAAGTTCTGATTTTATTCCTCATTTGCAAGATACTGACTTTATTAGAGTGCAGTGGAAGGAAGGGGCAGAAGAGTCAATAACTGAGATCTGAGAGCTGATCTTAGAATTGTGGAGGGGACAGGGATGACATTTGGGCTGTTAATAGGCTATACTTTATAATATTGGCTGTTAGTGTGAGTAATCCTCAGTAATGTCTGCTTTGAATATTTTATACCTGCAACTTGGCCCAAAACCTCTGAAATATATGGAACTCCCTTCTTTTTGAGTTCTGACCATATCTTTAGTTTTCTTTTGAAAGTTTAAAGCTCAGCAGTACTTCTTGCTTGTCTTCTACAGCACTGAAGGAGGAGAATCTGGTCTTTCTCCCCGACAGACACTAGAAACATGACAGTCAGACAATGCACAGAAAAGTAAAATAGAACTTCTTTTTTTTTCTTTTTTTTTTTTTTTTTCAAAAAATGGAAGAGTGAAACTATAATTAGTATTAGCTGAAAGTCCTTCTCCAGTGCAATTTTTCTTTTCCTATTAGAGTGAAATACTTTTTTGAATTTCCCATAAAGCATATGGAGTTTTTAATATTTGTGATATAACTAATTGTGCTCTTTACTGTGTTGCTGTTGTAGAATTTGGAACACATGGAATGCGGGGGAGAAATACTGTAATGGCATGTGTATACCTCAAAAGTTTAGAATCCCTTTAATTGATCCTCATAAGATATGATGCCATTGTTTGTCAGTGCTCTGTTTTATGATGACGATGACAACGATGCTGATGATAATAACAGTTTAGACTGATGCAAATTTTACCATGTTAAAATATTTTTACAATCTGTAACATTTAAAATATGTCTTTTTATTTAGGGTGTTCTCTTGGTTTATGATATTACCAATGGCCAGAGTTTTGAAAATTTAGAAGACTGGTATAATGTGGTAAAAAAAGTGAATGAAGAATCAGAAACACAGCCACTTGTGGCCTTGGTCGGAAATAAAAGTAAGTTACTCATATTACATATTATTTGAAATACTCTGGATGTGGTTTGCTATTAAAGAAATGACATAGGGTACATGTATTAAGTAAAATGAAACTAAATACTATCTTGTGTGTTGTTGCTGTGTACAGAAGACATACTTGGGTACACCTCAGGATTCTGGCTCTAGGCAGACAGGTTACAGGACCTTCTGCATCGTTCTTTGCCCAGCCTTCAGCCTCTCTCCCAGTGTTCTCTTTGCTTGGAGAGAGCAGCACAAAGGAGTGGAGAGAACACTCGCCCATGCTTGAATTTGGCAGGGCCCCAGGAGATAGCCATGGCATATATCTGGAATGGAGATCCGGGAACCAGTCCTGTTTGTAGTAACAGGTATATTTAATGATTCTGTATGTCAAAAGACTGCTAGATTAAGTACTGATATATATTTAAAATAACTACACTATGCCCTAGGCGTAATACTTATAAGTTATTTGGCTGTTTCTTATGCTATCTGTAGTTTTGCATGAGGTGACTAACTTCATGTTGTTTCAGGATTTTTTTTTTAACCTGTCCTCTTTTTGATTATATAAGTATCATATAATGGTTTTCTTATAACCAAAATATGCCACTTTAAATAATCATAGTTAGTTTCCTAATTAGATGGATTCCAAATTCCCCTGTTTCTAACTAAGAAATCTTACAGAAACATCCTTATTACCATCTTGGCTCTCCTACCCTCTTTCTATTGAAGATGATAAAAATGACATTTAGCAATTTTTGAAACAAAATGGTAGAAGCAGGTACATAATTTTTATGCGTTATAAATATGTTTATTTGAACAGCAGAAAAAAATTTGCCATTTTTTTTATTTTCCAAGTAATTTGTTTCCATGTTACAGTGACCATGTCATGAACAAACCTGAAAAAAGACCTTACCCAGCAAGTTAAAATTGTTTAAAAGCATTTGAAAACAATACAGAGACAAAACACTTTAATTCAGAACAATTAACTGTAATGTTGCTACAGTGATGCTGTAATATTTTATGATAATAATTATGAAAGACTAATTTCCTGTGAAGAAAACAAAGAAGCTCTTAGAGTTACAATATATGCATAGCACTTCTGAAAGTGTAACATAGACAGTGTTGTACTCTAGCAGACCAGAGTCAGTAATACAGATTCTGTTGAAAATCAAATGAAAAATATTTTTCACTGATTTATATTTTGCCCCAAAATATGATTTCCTCACTGGAGTTCTGCAAATCTTAAGAGGTATTTACAGTAAGATACACTGTAACATAGGATAAAAAATGTGATTTTTTTTCTGAAGTGGCACCACAGAGGTAGAAAATCAGACACCAGTTTTCATTTGGAGGAATTTTATTTCTGTTATTTTTCACATATGCATGCCTGCATATCTTTAATATCCAAGTCTTTCCTTGGAAGCATCTGGAAATAGAATCTGGTTTCCTAGGTGAGTTTTCAGATAGTGGCTGACACTGGCTAGTGAAAGGGCTTTCATTTTATGAAAATAGCAACGGAAGGAACAGCGTACTTGCAACCTTGTTCTCTTTCAGAAGCTGCATATAAAAAAAAGAAGCAAAATAGTGCTTTCAGATAATGCTAAGGATGTTTGTTGCTGTTGCACATGTTGATTATGCAGGGGTTACTCTTAACAGAGGTGTTTTTCTGCTTTGTTTTTATTTCATCACGAAAAAAAATTAGATTTTAGAAGTGTGGTGCTTTTCTGAGTTCTGTAGGAGGAGAAGAATATCTAGGAGGGTTTCTACCCCAATACTAAGAAATTAGTGGCCTGTGAGAGGAAACTGTAACCAGGCTCCTGTTGTTACATAAAGAGAAAACAAGGTGTTTACATAGAAGCATGATGTTGACTCTTGTGTATTATGAAGAGATGAAACTACCAGTACTAAAAAGCTATTAAGAAGGAATCACTTGTTCAGATTCTTTACTTAGGAAGCAATGGAACACTGACATACAGTGCAAGAGCAATAACAAGTTTAAAGCCAGGAAAAACCATTTGATGAACTGATGAACTTGCTTGACCTGCATCATACAGGAGAAATACTTTCAGTCAGTAGTTTCTGTCTCAGGGATTGTACTTGGTTTTTTGAGCTATACATGCCTTTTAGGAAAATATCCAGGTATACTGACCTAAAGATTAGAAATGTCGATATACACAGGCAAGTTATTCTAACACTTAACTTGCTTTCTGATAAAAGTGTTTAAAAATTCCTAAGAATGCAGTTGTTTTCATTCACAGCAACTGGAAAGCTTTGGGACAGTATTTAGATACCTAGATAAGAATTTGGGAGCTCAGCTGAAATCTTCCATTTTGAAATCTTGTCCTGAAGTTAGTTACTTAACTCGGGCTTAGGCTGTCCTTTGTCTTTTTTCACTTATTAATACATTCTGAAGGATATGCGTACTTTTCCATTTTGGGGTAGATACACCTGGGATCTCTGCTCTAGTGCTTCAGAAATAGGAATAAAGATATAGTTAAAAAAAAAAATCTTGAAGAGAACAAAAATATTTTTCTTTACAATGTAATGTAGAAAACTGTATACTTGAATTCTATTAGAGGAAAAGAATTTCCTTGAGTAATTTTGTCATTGAAAGTAAATTATTTGAGATACACAGTATATGGTGCATAATTGTGTACTAGCTGTTAAATCATGCAGTTTTATAGGTAATTTATTAATGGTTTCTAGTATCAATTTTTTGTCATTCTGTTAAATGTTAAGTTTGCAAGGATTTCTCTAGCGTTCCACGAAACCTGAAGAAATTGTTCTGTGCTAGTTTTGTGTTATTCTGTTTTATGGTACTTTGAAATAGATCAGAAGCATGAACATAGTAAATTGCTGTGTTCGGTTTTAAGCATGATAATTAAGTGGTGTCAATCTATTAAAATGTCTTATAGTGATTGCAAGAGATTAAGATTTAGTCATGAAACATTACAAAGGTAATTTCTGCTTTAAAAGCTCCAATCAGTCACAAGTCTCTCATCTGTCAGAAATTTATTTGAAAATAACAGAGCAGCATGAACTGACATCTAAATTCTGGACCTTCTTTTTTTTTTTTTTTTTTTTTTGTTATTCAGTACTATCTAAAATGAAGGACTGTCATTGTCCACTAGTTAAAAAAAATAGTTGGTAAAATGAACTTCAGAGATGCAGACGTTAGTTGTAAAAGTAGTACTTTATTTAAGGTGACTGGCTTTCCTCCTAGATGCTTAGTTTGTTTTCATTCTTTCTTCCTTCCTGTACCTTTTTCCTTTTTTTCCATAGCTTGATCTACACATGTGGTCAGAGAGAGTAGAAAACTGATTTGGATCAAGAACTTGACCAGACCTATTTTCTTCACCTGTATTCAGTTATCAATTAATTCTCTGTCTTTCCATAGATTTTTCTTCGTGTGTTTGCTGAACAACAGAAGGAATTGTAAAATTTAATGTAAAAATTTTTTTCCCCTATTAATTATAAGATCTTAATAATTCTGAAATTTACAGCTGGTTTTGAATCTTATATTTGTCTTTCTTAGTAATTTACTTTATGTTATTTGATTATTTTTTAATACAAAGTATATTTGAAGTGTGGTTTTTTTTCATTGTTGCTAATACCAATTCCTTTGCACTGGAAGATGGGGAGTCAACCTTAATGTTAATTTTAACAAATGCTTTTGAGTTTCAATGCAATAGCTTACAACTTCTATAGATATGTTACTGTCAAATACTTTGACTTGTATAAATGAAACTGTAGTTATCAAGTGAATGAATTGTGTTTTGTGCACTTAGGATCTTTGCTTAAATTTGGTATTGATAAAGTTCAGTGATCACAATGGATCTTCTAGTCATTAAGTGTGAATTAGAGAGGATTTACTGTGTTTTGTATGACTGATGTGTTTCCTTCCTTTCTGCCTTGACTACTTTATATATTTTCTTCTGCACTAATCTATAAGCAGTCTCCTCAAGTGTCCTACCAGCATTTTCGGTGGATGTATTGTAAACAAAAATTAACCCAGGTTGCTTGGGAGCCACACTGGTTTTGATTTATAGCTACCAAGATGGTCTGAGGGCGGTGGTTATCTGTAGCTTATGTAGGGGGTAGGAATTATCAGGTACCAGTGTATAGTGGCTAGATGAGTGATTTCTATTCTTACAGATACTAACCAGATCCACTCCTCAATAAAGACTAATAACTCAGATTTTTAAACAGTCTTCATGACAGATGAGGGCACAGAGGAGAATGCATCAACACTAATTAAGAATGTTGACCATTTGTTCGTCTTAGCCATGATTAATTGATCTTGGAGTGCTATCTCTGAACAGGAAGTGGTGTGCTGTTACATTGTGAAGTTTAAAGGTTACATTTTAGTGTACCCTTTAACTTGCCTTTACAGACAAAGTAAAATGTTTTTACCTATCTTATCTGAGTGCAGAAAGAAACATTTTCCACCCCAGATATGAGTTAATATTTGGTGTACTGTGTACTAATGTGAATCTGGCTGGTAATGGGACATGCCCAGTCTGCTTTTGGACTCTATTGCTGCCTTATATACTTAGTCTCTGAGTACATTTTCTGTACTCAGAAAATTTCTTCATTAATACTCATTTTGAGATTCTGGCTTATTAAAATGCAGAGTTATGCATTCACACTCCTCTCCCTCCCAACCTCACCCAGCTGTTTTCTGTTCTTGCTTCCTGTGGACTTGTACCTTTTAGGTCTTTCACCTGTAATTAAGACAAGCGTTGAGCAGGTAGTGCAAAGAACCCTTTTCTTTTTGAGTCTTATGCCTGATTAAACTGAAGTTCCTGTATGCCTGACAGCGGGTCTGGTCACCTGAGCCTCACACATGCTCCTGGGATTGGAGGGTAAACTTCTTACATGTAGAGACTCCTTTAGAAAGAAAACCTTGTCCTGTGCTACACTCAGTTTACCAACTCATTTGAATAAATGTAGAATGATACCCTGTTTTAAAATATGTATAGCATGTTTGTCTCAGCAACC